GACGTGGAGTTGACAGCAGACCGGGCAGGTTATCTTCAAGGATTTAGAAGAACAAGGTAGGCAGACAGGAAGGGCCCTGGAGTTCCAGGCAGAGGACACAGCATCTGTGAATGCTGGGGACAGTGAGGGGCTGGGCTGCCTGCAGAGACTGAACCCCCACCCCCACCCTCGGCCCACTCTTCTTCCTTCATTCATTCACACACCCGCTTGCTTTGGCTTAAGACACTGTGCTGGGTACAGGCTTCCTCATGAAGGCCAGCCTGGCCCTGCCTAAGGGTCTCCCAGTCAGGACATGGTCACAGATGTATACAACGAGGCCATGTATTACACTGACCGATGTATTACACTGACCGGTGTCTCCCTTCACCCACTTTTCTGTTGTCTATCCCCCTGGGAGGGGGCTATATCATTGTGAATGGGTGAATGGTTCCCCCTTTCTCCTCCTACCTTTTCCATCCTCCTGGTATCGCTAGTCTCATTATTGGTCCAGTATTCACTGTTTTTAAATGAGAAGAAAATGTTAAGTATTAACTTGGAAATAACCTTTTAAATATTTTCCCCTCAATAATAAAAGTAGTACATATAAGATGTCAACTAAGCCCACATGGAAGAAGCACACCAACATCTGTGATCCAAGGGCTGTACATTCTATAATCCAAATCTGAAGGAGGGAATAGTATTAGAGCTTAACTTGTAAGATTCTGGTGACCAGGAGGATATGGGTGATTGTGGATGCCCAAAATGCATATGCAGAATCACAAAGGGACTAAGTCTCTGCAGAGTTCCCTCCAACCACGATAGAGGGATGGGAATAACCTGGCCAGCAGACTGAGATCATTGTAGAGATGACTATAACAGATTAAATCTGACTCAAATGGTTAAAATCTTGTCATTTGATCTCCCTTTTGATACACTTTGTGCTTGATCTGGTTGTGGTTATTACATAATCTGTTGTCAATTTGAGTATTAAGAGTGAAGGGGTGGAGTCTAGCCTGTCAATCAGGTCACAGCTTGATGACCTCATTTGGAGGCGCTAAGGAGATGCGAGGACGCTGCTGGGGGGCAGGGAGGGGTGATGTCGTGCTGTGATTCCTATGAATCAGAGCTCCTGTGAGTCACCAGTACCCCGGCTGTCCCCCACCCCCAGCCCAGAAGGCAGAGACTAGGTCCCTGTCCTCTTGATCTCTTCCAACAGAGCCTGGTGCTGGGGGAGGCGCTGAGCTGGAGCCCAAGAGGGCTTCGGACTCACACTGGGCCACCTTCTTTCTGACCCCGGTACTCTTGTCTTGAACCCAGGACTGGACACTCCAACCCTGGATGCTCCCAGGGCATTTGTGGATGCATGGTGCCCCCTTGGTGATTATTTGTCTTATGACCCTGGGGGGCATTGCCACCAGGTCCAGCCTCCAGACACCCCTTCTGGGGGTCTCCACTTGGTGACCCATGACATGGGAACAGTCTCCAGCTCCATAGGTTTGGCCTGGGTCAGGGGTAGGGCTCTGAATCTATGCTCCCCTACCTACCCCCTCCCAATAGGTGCAGGATCCAGGAGCGGTGGGGGTGGTGTGGAGATAGATTCCAGGCTCCCTGGGCCAGTGCCCTGCCTTAGGGTCTTTTAAGGCCACCACACTCCATGCAGGCCACTCCTCCCCACCTCGGGGCACACAAGAACCAAAGAGGGGAGGCAGCTAGGCTGACCGAGAGCTCAGAGTCAGGCCCCAGAGAGGGTGGGAGGGAAGGGGCTGCCTTATTTGGAGAGGACTCAGGAGCCCAGGGGTGGGGGCTTCCAGGAGGAGGAGGTGGTGGGCAGATGCCACGGGCTCTAGAGATGGGGTAGCTGTGGGTTTAAGGAGCTGCCACTTCAGAAAGGGAGGACAACTGAGCTCAGAAGCCAGCTGGAGGAGAGACATCGATGGCAATGGTGAAAGAAAGATGTCCCCAGCCCCTCCTGCCCACGGAAGCCAGAAGACACGGACGGGCTTGATGGCCCAAAGCAGTGTTTCCAGAGCTCAGGGACAAAAGATGGTGGAACCTCAGCTGGTCAGAAGGAAAAGATGAGTCTGTCTGCTCCTGTAGAGACAGGCAGCCTTAGAAACCCACAAGGGCGTCTCTACTCTGCCCTGTGGGCTTGCTGGTGGGGCTGTGGTTCTCTGGAGGAGTCCTGGTGGTGTAGTGGGTTAAGCACCGGGTGCACAGAAAGGCTGGCCATTCAAAGCCAGCAGCTGCTCCTCAGGAGAAAGAGGAAAAGCCGGTCACTTCTGTAATAATGGACAGGCTAGGAAATCCCAGGGAGCTGGTCTTCTCTGACCTAGAGGGTTGCTATGCGAATTGACCTGAGGACGCTGGTTCTCCGGAAGACGGGTAGGCTATGTGTGTTTATTTGACCTCACTCCAGACGTGCCTGAAGCGAACAGCTTTGCCGGGAGCTTTTGTCAAAGCACGCAGGACTTGTTTCACACGGACCCTGGCTGAGGTGGTCATAGAAAGAGCCGGGGCACACAAGCTGGTCAGGACATTTAAAAGGAAGAGTGACGCCCTGTCCAGAGGGGGCTTAGACAAGCTGTGCCATACTGGACGTTTTCCCAGCACAGCTACCCTCGACAGGGTTTCTGAGGCTGTGTAAACCACGATGGGAGCTGACACCCTCAACTTTCTCCTGTGGAGTGGCTGGTAGATTTGAACCACTGGCCTTGTGGCTAGCAGGCTAATGGCATAGAGAGGCCCCGGACAAAGAGGGAGAGACTTACGGATCAAAGGAATCTCAGGAAAGCTGACCACTACCAAGCATACAGGTTAGAACACACGCTTTACAGTGTGTTCTAACAGTGTGTTTACAGTGTTAGCTGAGGGAAGTCACTAACTAACTAACCCAAACAGCAGCAGCAACGGCAAACCTGGGGGATTAGGATTAAAGCCATAACTTACAACAGTATAATTCAGATTTATACCAATTTAGTTTTAACAATGGAGAACACGTTTGCTCCTCTATAGTTCCAGTCCCACCTGTCTGCTTCAGGTGATTGTTGTTGTATATGTTATATCTTTATACAACCCCAAATGACAAAGGCATAGAGAAAACAGGTGCGAAACGCTAGGTACAAATCTTGCCTGAGAGACAATTACATTAAATGGTAAAGGATTAAATACTGTAATAAAAAGTCGAAGGTTGGTAGAAAGTATAAAAACCACGGGCTAACTATATTCTATCTATGAAAGAAGCACTATCGATTTAAAGGCACAGAAAGTTGAAAGTAAAAGAACAGAGAAAGATAAACCTTCGGGTCTTAGGCTGGCTTGATTAGAGAAACAAATCCAGTGATATATATATATGTGTAAGAGAGAGGGTTATATTACAAAGTAATTATATACCAAACAAAAATCCCAGCCCAGTCCACATCAAGTCCCTAAGTCTGATCCTAGTCCATAAGTCCCTCTTCGGACTCACGCAGTCTCATACAACGATACAGAATGCAGAGACATCACTGGCCAGTGGTGCAAAGTCTTGTGGAGCCAATGGTAGTGGCAGCATCCCGGGGCTCCGGCAGCTCCCAGTGTGGCTCTTCAACAGGAAGGTGAAGGAGAGAGAGGGGGAAGGCCCCAGGACCCTCCTTATGAGAAGGCCACACCTACAAAGAGCCATCATCAGGCTGTGACTTGTGACACCAGGCTAGACTCCATGCCTACACTCCAATGATCAAGTTGACAGGAAGTTATGTAACTCCTACACTTGTTAACAGTAACCAAAAAAGAGCCGGAATGATCGTATTCATATGAGACAAAAATAGACTTTCTGATAAAAATTGTTATTAGAGACAAATAAATGTCTTTTATGATTCTAGAAGGGTCAATCTATCAGGAAGCTTTAACAATTGTGAGACTATATTCCTCTAACAACAGGGCTCCAAGACAGATGAAGCAAAGATTGGCCGAGTGGAAGGGTTGCAGACAATGTAACATAACCAGAGACTTCAATACCCTACTTTCCAGAATAGATAAAACAACTAAGCAGAAGACTGACAAGAAAACAGAAGACTTGAACAACACTGTGAAGTGGTTTTCAACTCCTGTAAACAGTTGCAGTCTCAAAAGCCCACGGTGGAGTTGCTGTGCGTCAGCATTGACTTGTTGGCAGTAAGTTTTTTGTTTTAAAGAAGACAACCAGAGGTCACAAATATCTGTAGACTAGTCTGCCTAACGACAGATGACACATTTCTCAAGTGCACATGGAACATTCTCCAGGTTAGCTCATAAAACAAGTCTCAATCATTTTAAAAGGACTAAAATAATAAAAACGTGTTCTCTGACCACACAAAATAAATTTAGAAATTAATAGAAGAAGGAAATCTGGAAAATTAAAATATGTGGAAATTTAAAAAATGCTCTTAAGAAGCCAATAGCTAAAGCCCCCATAATGCCACGAGCCAGTCTGCCCAGCCCACAGCTCATTCTGTGGGATAAGGATCATTCTGTGGGGACACTGTTCAGGAGATACCTGCTGGCAGAGGCCAAAGGGCTGGGGCCTAGCTGGGGCGGGTCCCATCTCCTCACTCAATTCAAGACCCTAGTCTGGGAAGGAGGTGCCAAATTTTGACTCCCAATATTGGGGTTCCACACCCCCCAGGAGGTGCTAGCTGGTCAAGCACTGTTGTTAGCCAGCCAACTGCAGGTCGATTTCCACTCTCATGCTGGTTCCTCGTCCAGCAAATGGAAATGATACTGTGGCTCCAGTCTCCAGAAGTCCTGCCTGCTTGGTAGGGTAGGGGTGGGAGTGAGGCCCTGTACAAAGGCTGGGTGACGGCATGGGTGACGTCATGGGGCTGGATGAGGTGTCCCTCGTGACTTCCCGCTCCATTCTCTGTGTCTGGAACTCTGACTACAAATGTCCCTTTGCCCTCAGGGTTTCTCTGCTGCTGATGGCAGCAGGGGCAGCTGGAGTCCCTGTGTGTGTGTCTATGTGTGTGTGAAGCTCTGTGTTTTAGTTTAATGAGCTGGAAATGACAGACTTTCAAGATCTTTATTTAGGTATACAAAAAATTACAGTCCATCCCATGCACCACTGTGGCCAATATACAGTCGTTATCTCTATAGCAAGTACTACAATGATAGGGGGTTAGAAAGTTACAGGGATTGACTTATCTAACTAAGAACAATAGAAGGAAAAGCACTAACCTAAATAGTGACCTGTTTATTGTGCCAAACTCCCACTTATTCTATATGCATGATAACTAGAAATTTGTAAGTATTATTAGTAAAAAAACTAAACAAAAACTCATCCTGAAAAACTAGTTACTAGTTAAAAAAGAGAAATCAGTGTCATCTATGATCCCTGGCTGTGCAAGGGGCCTGAGTAGGCGGGGCCTTCCCGAGTGGAGTCTCCGCCCATATGCAGGGAGAATTATTGAGATCACTTCCTCCTGGGGCTGCTCTGTGTGGATGGATGCCAGTGTCCCCAGGCGTGTCTGCACTGGGATGTTCTGCATGTGGCTGAGAGTGGGCGATGCAGCGATGACGGGAGTGAGCAGGCAGGCTGGTCCTTTCCTTGGGCAGCCTGTGGGGAGACTGCTGGGGTTCCCTGAGGTGTCGTAGCATAAAGGTGCCAAGGCAGAAAGCTTGTCCTGCAGCCCGGGTGGGGTTTGGACATCCGCCAGAGTTGCTGTGGGGCCCCACCCTGGGGGCCTCTTAGTCAAGAGATGAGAACACACCCACAGAAGCCGAGAGAAAGGCAGGCAGAGTCCAGGAGGGGCTGGGAAAGGCAGAGTTGTAGATAGATAGATAGATAGATAGATAGATAGATAGATAGATAGATAGACAGACAGACAGACAAAGAAGTGAATGACTGGCGAGGCAGAGATCAGAAGGTCGTCTGCTCCTAGAACAAGTGCCCCAACTCACAGGTACATCTTGGAGGGGTGCCCGTGAGGCTCAAATGGGGTCTCGGTTATTCCAGGCCCTCTTCTGAAGGGTTGGGTGGCGCGGTGGCCCACCCTCTGTCATCTTTCACACTGTTCGCTCCAGGATGAATTCACAGTGGTTTCAAAGCTCAACAAGCCATTTCCCTGAATGTGATCGAAGGCTCAACGCTCAGGAAAGCACAGTTACCATGTGGCAGGCCAGTGAGGTCACTTTAGGGCTGGGGGGCTTTCCTCCCTCAGGACAGGCCCCGGGCTCCCGGGAGCACGCATGCCCAATGGGTAGCCCCGGTGTTCCTTGGCCCCGGGCTGCAGTCTTGTCCCCGCAGGTGAGGGTGTCCGGTCTTTTGTTTCCGGATGGACAGGCTGTACTGGCCTCATCACCAGGTCCAGGGATCACTGCAGTTGGCCCCAAGCTGCCTGGCTATTCAGCCTTGAGGAGCCTGGGGGCGGGTGGGGGTGGGGAGGGGATAACAGGGTTGTGGGGATCCTGGAGTCCATTCAGAACACCAGCTGGTTTCCCCAGCATTTAGGCGTGTGTGGCAACCACTGAAATATATTCTGGATGCTCCAGGGACCGAGATTTTGCATCCAGCGGAGGCCGGAGTCCACAGGAGGAGGAGGTGCCGAGCCTGCAGTCGATGCCACTCCTCCAGGACTTGGTGCCCAGTGCCCGACTGGCTCGGGCCGCAGCCGTCTGGGTGCCCAGGCCTGGAAGGGCAGCGCTCCCTTTAATAGAGCGGCGGCTGCCGGAGCTCCGAACCATACAGCTCGGCCAGCATCTTGAACCGGGGCCCCCAGTCGTTGAGGAAGTCGTAGTCGACGTCCGAGTCGGACGAGTCGGTGCCCAGGGAGCTGAGCGACTCGGCGATCGACTCGGCGCCCTCGTAGCCGTAGATGTGCAGCGTGTCGTAGGGGGGCCCGTCGCCGTCGTGGTCCGCCTCGCCCTTCTTCACCTCGATCATGGCCGCCATCTCGCCGGGCGCGCTGGGCAGGCCGGGCCCGCGCCGCGGCGGCTTCTGCACCTGCGCGTAGAGCTGCGGCCGCGCGTCCGGCGAGGGCGCGGGGTGGGGCCCGCCACGGCGCACCGAGTTGAGCACCGACACGTCGTAGCTGGTGGTGTCCATCTCGCCTCCGCCCTCTTCGTCGTAGGTGACCAGCTGCTCACGGATCTCAGGCACGTTCTTGCCGCGGGCCCGCGCCTGGTTCCGCAGCCGGCGGCGCAGGACGATGAGCAGGGTGATCACTGCAGGCGAGCAGAACCAGAGTCAAAGCAGGCCCGCCCTCCGAGACCCCTCGGCCTGCAGGGCCAGCCCGGATCCCCGTGGACACGTCCGTGGCCTGTCGCCATGGCATGCAGTGATGCCACCTGGTGGGCCCCGCAGGCCCGGGGTGGAGCCCGGCTCGGCGCCCAGCGGTTGGAGGCAGCATTGCACCTGGACCTCCCAGCTGGGAGGCTCCTCCCCGCTCCCCGCCCCCAGTGCCACCTGCCACTGACCGGCGATGGTGAGGATGCAGAGGAAGATGGCCACCAGCGCTTGGATGCTGACGCCTGTCAAGGCCACGGCCTCCTCACAGAAGGTGAACTCGCCCCGCTCGTTACACTTGCACACCACCACGGCCAGCGTATTGGTGCCCGTGAGGCTGGGACGCCCGTTGTCCGAAATGAGCACCGGCAGGAAGTGGACCTTGACCCGCTCCCGGTCAAACTGCCCGTACTTGACTGTGATGTTGGCCGTGTTGTCTGAAAACACCAAAGCCACCGAGTCAGGTGCTGCTGGGATACCGGCCCCTGTCGCCACAGGGCCTGCCACCTCGCGAAATCCCGCCCGAATGCGCCAGCTCGCTGTGGCTTGGACTGCTTCTCCGCCCTTTACGTCCCCCTGTCTCAAGTTTCAGCCACGTGAGTTCAGACCCTAGAACCCGACCCCACTGCCTGACTAACAGTCGATTTCCGACGCATAGCGACCCTGTGAGCTTCCCAGGCTGTCAGTCTTTAAGGGAGAAGACTACCTAAATTGTCTTAATTGGAGCAGATGAGCACAATTTACTCCCTTGGGGCGGCTAGTGGATATGAACGGCTGACCTTGTGGACAGCAGCCGGGTGCTTACCGGACAGTGCCACTGGGACTTCTGTGCTCCCAGAGAGGGGCTCTTGGGCAACTGCTTTGACAAAGCCTTTCACAATAGCCAGAATGTAAAACCTTTCTTTGGGGGCAAGTGACAGATTTGACTCCATCTCTTTCCCTAAGCCCACTCCACCTACAGTTCGGTTGCCTTTTGATCTGATTACTTATTGCACTATTTTGAGCATCACAAGCAAGGGGGGGGGGGAAATAAAGTTTGAGAAAGCCTTTTTCGCGTTGGGCTAACTTCTAAGGGTGTTTCTGCAAGCCCCGTGCACTCACCACAAACATGTTTTCCAACAGTAAATGCAACGCACCGGTCCCAGGGAGG